TACACCCACAGGGCTACAGACACCAGAGACACCAGAGAGACCTCAACAGCACACCTTGGAGAGAAGACAAGCCTCATTAGCAAGTTGGATATCCACACGTCAGGGATGAAACTAAATCCTTCGCCCTCACCCTGACAAAAATCAACTGGAAAGAAGTCAAAGGCCTTAATTTAAGACCTGAAACTTTGAAACCATGCAGAAAACACAAAGATACAAGGAGCAGGCAATGAACCCCACTGACCGCTCAGTTGGTAAGGCTGATGACCCAAGCACAGCTGCCATCCTCTGCTCTCCAGGTGCACCCCCTGATTAAGTATTTGAAAACAATTCTTTAAAAATAGAGTAGCGACTTTCTGAGCAAGCCTCCAACAGCTCAGGGAATAGACAAGGATTCACAAATGCAACTGCGTGGGATTGCGAAGCTCCACCCAGCAAGGGGGAGAGCTCTAAGAGGGAAGAGGTGACCTACAGACCAGGAGAGACTCTGCCAACTTGAACCCCTGGTGTCTTTGTAGATAGAGAATGCAAGAAATACATGCAGGGCTAAAATTATTATCGTTGTTCATGTCTGTGCTTAATTATCCCGTTCTTTCCAAATAAAATTCATTCCTGCTAAAGTTCACAGCCTAAATGTCCTCTTTTCTCTGAATGAAATTGGACTTTTCTTATGAGAAGGATACCAACCCCACACAATTTTCTTATCTCAGCTGCTAACTCAGACCTTTCTAGTGAATGAAAAGGGATGGACAGACTGTAGCAAGAGAGAGACAGGCAGGCAGGCAGGCAGAGAGAAAGAGAGAGGTACTATATGCCTGCAAGTTCTAGCTTCTAGGCAAACAGCTGTCTTTTCAAGTACACATATACAGCTTTGCTTTCTATTCTCTTCATTCTTTACTACAGAACATGAACAAAGAGCATCTACTGAACACAGAGATGAAAAAGAAAAGGAGAAATCAGAGCAACTGAACTGACGAAGACCCTATCATGTGACCCCTACCATCTAGTTGACAAACTACATCTCCCCGTAAACTCCCACAAGCCTACTGACAGCTTTTCACTGATCAACTGTGAATTTCGCCAAAACCACAAACCTAGCACAGAATCCTGGTGGTGGTGTAGAGTCGGGGAGAATACAGCTCTGTAAAAGGTACTTTTATTTCAAGATTTAGTTATTTATTTATTGTTTGTACAGCATTCTGTCTGCACACCAGAAGGGGGCACCAGATCTCACTTTAGATGGTTGTGAGCCACCACATGGTTTCTGGGAATTAAATCAGGACCTTTGGAAGAGCAGCCAGTGCTCTTAACCTCTGAGCCATCTCTCCAGCCCATAGAAGGTTTCAGTTGTTGTCTCTGAGGATTACTCCCTCTGTCTGCCAACCTAGACTGGACGCTTCTAGCCTCCCTACAATGTAAACCAGGCCTAGAATGTTTTCAGCCTCTGAGAATTACTGCTGAGTAAGTTCACCCTCTTTTGTTCTTACTCAGCTCTGGGCTGACTGGTGACTGGTTCATCTCGGCTTTCCTGGCTCATTTTTTTTTCCCAGATGACTTATTCAATCTGGTTTTTCTCTCAACCTCTGAACTGCTCTGTTTGGCCTCAAAGTAACTCAAGCAAGCTGCTCTAATATCCTGACTCCTTCTCATTCTCTGGTTCATTTGGTCTTCACCTGAGTTCTCTCCTCTCTCTCTCTCTCTGCATTGCCCATTGCTTACCTCTCTCCTCTCTAGTCTCCTGAGAGTTGAGCATATCCTACTCTGTCAGGTCTTTCTCTGATTTGTCACTTTTTCTGCCACTCAATTAGACATCCCTTGCAAACAGGGGTGCTTTCTAACTTTATCTTTATTTTGGGGATTAAAGGCGTGTACCACCACCACACATGGACCTAAGCTTTTCTTTACCTGAAACTTACTCTATACCAGGCTGGCCCTGAACTCAGAGATCTGCTTGCCTCTCTCTCCTGGATTAAAGACATGTTTATATTCCAGCCAGCTCACACTGACCTAGAAGATTTTTGGATGTGCTCTCTTGCCAGAGAATTGTACACAGTTTAACTTTTGCAATGGAAACCAATTATCAATACCACAAACTTCACAGCTCCTTTTATGAAAACTAAAAGTGCACAAACTTTTGGTATGGCATTCCACTCCTAGGCGTCCACTGAACCCATTCTTAAAAGAACTCCCAGTGACATGCAAAAGGCTGTGAGTGGCAGTAACTTATAACAGTAAAACAAGCAAAGTACAAGGAGGGACTAATTAAATAAATGGCAGCATAACTACACACTGAACCACTGCACAGCTTCTGAAACTGAGCAAGGCAGTGGGATTCTAGGAAGACAGAAGGTAAGGGCACACTGTGGATTTTGAGGACTCCTTTCCTAAGGCTCAGTGGATCGACTAAAGTCAGAACCTGAGGACACTGCACACAGGCCCACGTCACCTCAGGAACCACACCACCCTGGGGCTGGCATGCATGTACCTGCTATGGCGTGCAAGTGGTGGTCAGAGGACAACCTGTTAGAGTGGGTTCCCTTCTATCATGTGGGCCCTAGGGATTTCACGCAAGCCATCGGGCTTCACAGCAAGTGCCTTTACCCCTGGAGCGATCCCTGATCCCTCTGGCCCCAAACATAATCTTCCTTTACAGGCATCCCCTGTAGTCTGACCTCACACAGGTCCCTTCACCTTTGTGCCTCAGTGTCCTTTTTCAGTAAGCGCTTCTGAAAATGGGGGACATGGTATGAAATCATGTGTGATCTTCTGGGGAGCCTCGGCTCTCACTAATGAACCAGTGCCTAACCCTTGCTGGTTATAGAATACTTACCACAGACTCTGGTTTCTTTCTTTATTAACAATTATCCCAGTTTAAAAAAGGAATGTTTATTTTATGTGCACGGGTACATTCTGCATGTATGGATGGGCATCGTTTGTGTGCCTGGTGTCTACAGAGGCCCGGAGATATTTAGTTCCCATGGAGCAGGAGTTATAGATGGCTGTGAGCAGCCATGTGGGTGCTGGGAACTGAACCCTGGTCCTCTGCAAGAGCAGCCAGTGCTCTTAGGCACTAAGCCATCTCTCCAGCTCCTAAAACAGGGTTCCCGAGCCCCATTCTCCTACACTGTCTCCCTCCTTATATCCCCATGGCGTCATCCTCCTCTCAACAACTACTCAGAGTCAAAGCCTAAAACCATCCGGGTTCTTCTTTTCCTTTTACTATCAGCCGAACACATTCTCCATAAGCTAGTCAACCCGTCAGGAAGCCCCACTGGATGGACTTCCAATAGCTATCATGAATTCATCTGCTTTCCTCTAACACTGGGGAACACATCATCAAGCCACTGTCATGGCATATCTACGGCTGCCACCTCTTTTTTCTACCTTCAGCACAGCATGTACGTGCCTGGTGTCTACGGAGGCCAGAAGAAACTGAGTTCCCATGGAGCTGGAGTGATAGGTGGTTGTGAGCCACCATGTGGGTCCTGGGAAATGAACTTTCCTCCTATGGAAAAGTAGCCAGTGCTCTTAACCTCTGAGCCATCTCTCTAACACCCAACCCTCTTTTCCCCCTTCCCTTTCTCTCTTTCTTTTCTTTTCTTTCTTTCTTTCTTTCTTTCTTTCTTTCTTTCTTTCTTTCTTTCTTTCTTTCTTTCTTTCTTTCTTTCTTTCTTCTTAATTTTTTTTTAAGACAGTCTTACTGTGTAGCCCCACTGTGGCCCGGAACTGGCCCTGTGGATTATCAGCCTTGCACTCTCAGAGATTCACTTGCCTCTGCCTGCCAAGTACTGGGTGTGCTACCACCCTTGGCCCTGAGCTGAAGTTCTAATATTTCCAAGTGGAAAAATCTCAGACTAGAAGTAAAGGTTCAGTAATTCCTTTATGAGTTCAAATAAATAGCAAAAGTTAATGCTGTAAAGAGTTGGAATTGTACATTACTCGTCTGCATGAGGTTGACCTAACTTACCTGCAGGTTGTGCTCAAAGCAGGCCAAAGTCTTGTTGAACAGGCTGAGGAAGTACTCCGTGTTATTTGATAGATCGTCACTGTCGTTCGTTAAGCAATCTGTAAAAACAATGAAACAAACAAAGCCCCATGGCACACTGAGGGGTCATCGCTGACAACTGCATGCCGTCACTTACCCCGTGGTCATACAGACAAGCATGAAGCCTTCCACACACGCAAGTGTCCAAACACATAGGCTTCTTCGCCCTTCTAGTTTCCAACCTTGTTTTTTTTTTTTTTAACAACTCTTGAAAGTTTTAAAATAACTGCACAGTTCTCTTCTTATAAAAACAATTACAATTAAAAACTGACTTTTAAAGATGAAGTTAGTGAAAACTCAGCTCTCAATGCTATGTAGATGTAAAACTTTCTATCTCGTATTCCTTTTTCCTAGATCTCTGTCTTTTTACCTTGGTGTTAAATTCAGTGGCTCTTATCTCTTCATCACTGGGGTCTTACTCTATTTAGCAGGGTAGCCTTTTTCATTTATTCTTCTGAACCTACCATGAGCTGGGTGCCCGGAGAAACAGGCTGATGGGAATTCTGCCTAAAAACCTGACGGAGACTTCTTAAAGTCTGGATACAAACAAAGAACTGTTTCGTGTGGTTTTGCAAATTCTGTCCATAGCCCACAGCCCTTGCTTAGCATTGCTTCAAGTTCTTCTACCCCTTCCACTTCTAGTGAGGATGACACGATTTTAGGGCGTTTCTCATCACATTTATTTGATTGTTTGTTTTGTGTGCATGTACATGCCATGGGTTGGAATACAATTTCCTGGACTTGGTCCTCTTCTTCTACCATGTGAGTTCCAGAGATCAAATTCAGGGTGTCGGGCCTGGGAAGCAGCTTTAGCCACTGAACTCAATAACCTGGCTTCACATCCCACAACTGGAGTGGGCCATTTCCCTCTCTCTTCCTTTACTCTCTGCTCTCCACAAGCCCACAAGTATTCCCGTCTGTTTTCTGGACTACAATTCTTTTTGAGACTTGACTGAAGCCTGCCCCTAGAGGCGTTGCGGGTGGGGCTGCTGTGTCTCGTGCGTGTCAACAGATGGCAGAGGGGAGAGCGGCCATGTCTACACTCAGTCTTCTCACCTGTGAGCATTTCAATTAGCAGCCTAACACTCCCTGAAAAAAAGCAAGCCTGAGATGACCACCAGACCAGTGCCATGGGGCTCAGATAGGCAGCAAGCCTGAGATGAACACCAGTCCAGCGCCTCGCAGTCGGTGGGGGGCGGGGGAGGGGCAGACAATGCCTGAGATGACCCCCTGCCTGGTGCCATGATGCAAGAGCAGGCCATAGCACTCTTGAGACCGCCCCTGAGACCACCCCAGGCGCCACTAAGAGGAGCAAGTAAGAGGTGAAGAAATGGAAGAGAAAGAGAAACAGAAGGATGTGGGCACAGTGAAGAGAGACAGAATTGGAAAGTCAAGGGTAGTGAGGAACAGCCTGATGGGAGTAGCAGGCGATGCCACTACTGCGACCATGGTGGGGTCCTGGCCTGTGCTTCCACTGGGGGACCACGTCTGGGTCTGTGGCCCTGCAGTAGCAATGGTCTGTTATCACCAAAGGCCAAGCAGATGTCCCTGGTCTGGGCTACTGCCCAGGGCATGTTGATGTCTGAGGGCTGTGCTGCGCTGGCCCCATCCCTCACCTGCGCATCATGGGAGAGCTGGACCTGGGGACATGAGGGTAGGAGGGCTGACCCCACCCCTAGCCAGCTACAGTACTCAGGAGAGCAGGCCCAGCATACTTCAGGAGTTGTGGGTAAGCTGGCCCCAAAGGTATGAGCATGGGAGAGCTGGCCCTGCCATGCAGTGGCTTGGACAAGGGAGAGATACCCTTCTCCTCCTTCCCCCTTGCCACCTGTAAAGCAGGTGGGAAGCCTGGCCCGGGGATCATGAGAGCTGTAAGGCCTTCCCTGCCCCTCATGAGCTACAGCACTTAGGAGAGCAGGCCCTGCACCTGGTCTGGGCAGCACAGTAGAGCTGACCCTGGTGGTGGGGGTACAGGCGAGCCTGCCCCAGGGGCATAAGCATGGGAGAGTTGGCTCTGCAACTTGTCTTCTGTACAGTGATATGGTAGAGAGAGAGATGCACCCCCCTCAGCTCTTGCCACTGTGGCAGGAAAGAGAGCTGGCCCAGAGGTCTTCAGTGCAGGAGAGCTGACCCTGCCCCTCACCTACTGCAGCACTTGGGAGAGCAGGCTCTGCCCTTCACCTGGGCAGCATAGTAGTGCTGGCCCTAAATGTAAGGGTTCTGGTGAGCTGGCCCTGCCTCTGGTCTGCTGTGCAGTGGCCTCACAGAGGGAGAGATCCCCTCCCCTCCCTTTTGTCCTTGACACTTGCGGTGAGTCATGAAAGCAGGAGAGCTATCTCTGCCCCTTACCTCAGCACCACAGTAGAGCTGTGATGGTGGGGTCATTAGTGAGATAACCCAGTGTGGGAGAACTGGCCCCGAAACTTGTCTGCTGTCGGGCAGCACAGGTAAGGGAGAGATGCCCTCCCCCACCATCGTCCCTTGCCACCTATGGCAGGAAGAAGAGCTGGTTCTGAGGTCATGAGAGCGGGAAAGCTGGTCCTGCCCCTCACCTGCGGCAGCATTCAGGAGAGTGGGCCTTGCACTTCACCTGGACAGCAGGGTAGAGCTGGCCCTGGTTGGGGGAGGGGAGGTGCTGCCATTGAGCTGGCCACCAGGAGAGCCAGCAGGTGGCTCAGATACCACTCAGGCTCAAATCCAGGGCTTTGAATTGGTCCCTCCTCCCCAACATCTACCCTATCAATGAACTGCTGGGGTGCACGAAGGGGTCAGTACTACAAATCCAAGACTACAGGCTCTCCATGTGACACAGCGAAGCAACAGGATATGTGAGAGGAGGAGCAGAAGCCAAAGGTCTTATACCAGGCCAAAGACTGGCTCATTGCAATAAACATTTGCAAGCAAAGAAGTGTGGTCAAAAGGGTGTACTGTGGGACACACTGTGACACACTACAGTTTCCATAATAAGATCTTTTTTCTCTGTTGGGAAGAGAGGTTGCAAATGTGAGGGCGGGGATGAGGGGATGGGGAGATGAGTGCGATTGGGGTGCATTATGTGAAATTCACAAAGAACCAATAAAAAGTTTATTTTTAAAAATGAAATATATTTCTAAATTATAATAAAATTAGTTGATTCAAATTCATTATTTTCTGATTTCAGGGTCATGAAACAATCCTTTTAGATGCCCCCGTAATTAGTCCAAAAGGAGTATTTCAAACGTCTATTCCCTGGTGCCTGACCCACTCCTGCCTTCTTAATCGTAATACATTATTTTATTTGGCACCCACTTGATTTAGAGATTCAGAACCATCTTGTGGGAGTGAAGACAGCCAACAGGAAGCTATGGCTGTAACATGAGGAAAAGGTGGCAGTGGATAAAAGGGACGCCAGAGAGATCAACCCCAGGCCAAGCCAGAGGACAGCTTCACATACGACAGCCACGCACATCGCAAAAGCTGAAGTCGCTGGAGACTTGGATTGCAAGTATGTCCGTATTCTTGACAGTCACTCATTTCATTCCGCTGGTGGTTCTGTGAGGCAAAAACTACTATCTCCATTTTAAAAATAAGGCGCAGGGCAGAAGCACTTGCCACACAAGCCTGAGGACCCCAGCTTGATCCCGGGAGCCCATGGTGAGAGGAGCGAACGGAGTTCTGAGAGTTGACCTCCATGGGCTTCCTGTGGTACACATACACCAAAGTAATAAATAAAAGTTCTTAAAACCGGGGCCTAGAGGGATGGCTCAGCAGTTAAGAACATTTGCTGCTTGTGCAGAGGCCCTGGCTCTGGTTTCCAGAACCTACTTTGAGGTTCACAACCATTTGTAATTCCAGTTCTGGGGGATCCAGTGCTCTCTTCCGGCTTCCATGGGCATCAAGTACATGTATGTGGGACATAGACATTCAAGCAGGCAAAACACTTGTTCACACAAAATAAAAAAGTAACTCCCAAAAAATAATTTAAGAAGTTGAGACATGGTCTCAATGTAGCATTTGCTGTAGTTGAGGCTTGCCTAAACTTACAGAAATTCAACTGCCTCTGCCTCCAGAGTGCTGGGATTAAAGGCATGTGCCAGCACACCTAGCAAATAGTTAAAATTTTTTTAATTAAAAAAATTAAAAATAAGGAACACTTTAGGGAAATGAAGGAGCCTTGCCCAAGGACACAAAACTGATACACAGAAGGCTGGAATCTGTAATCCGTTCAGCTAGCACTGGAAGACACTGCAAGGTGAATCAGTGCCTCTCTTGCTCTCTCAGACCTACACACACACACACACACACACTCTAAACAATTAACAAATTCAACACTCAAGTGTGGGCAACTGCATGCTAATACTCCTCCCTCACCCTGACAAGAACCTGACAGCACCAGGAAGTCACTGACACCTGACCAGAAAGATCAACCGGAAACCTGGTTAACGGGGCAAGGCAACCCACGCCTCATCTTCTCTGCGGAAAACTTAGAAGATGGGAAGCAGGTGATCCCATGACTAGATGAATTGGAAATGCTCACTCCTGAGTCCACTCCAGACTTGTGGCAACTTCTTCTATGCAAGATATGCAAATAAGCAATTTCTTTATAAGAAAGATTTGTGAAGGAGGCCTCTCCGAGGAACAAAAGAGCTTAGCCTCTTCAATTTCCTGCTGTTTTCTCTTCCCTTAAAGTAATCGGAAACCGAAATGAAAAGCTAATGTAGGCTGGTGGTCTGATTAAGTGTTGCATTGTCACAGTATTTTTTTTTTTCAGTAACTACTAGGCGGTGGTATTACAGAGCACAAAGACATTCACTTACACAGTGGGGTTAAACGTGTCTTCGTCATTAGAAGAGCCCCGACTTTCTGATTCAAAACAAGGGATCTCTAGTAAACCCTCTTTATCCGTTGCTGAGCCTTGGGAGCATAAGGTTACAGAGAAGCTGCACATTGTAGAAATTAGTAAGCTAGTGAAGGCAGTGGCAACAAAGCTCTCTGTAGGCACGGAGTGAAGTGCTCACTGTGCTTCTGCCTCATCTCAGATAATCAATGGGGCCTCATCAAGGGCAGATTAGCACAGCTTCTGTCCCGGGGAAGACGTAGGCTTCAGCTCAAGAGGCCTTCTTCAGGGCGCTAAGGATTCCAGTCAAGACCTCACACAGAAGTGGCTAAATTACTACAACACAGTTGTGTGGCTTCGGACTTCTTCCCCCACCACCCAGCGCTCAGGATGGACCCTGGTCCAAGTCCCCCTGTACGTACCAGCAAAGCACTCTATCACGGAGCTATGCCCTTAGTCCTGACCACTCTAGGGACAGGGTCTGCTCTCAGGCTCTTCGCCCTCCAGCCTCCTGAGTGCTGGGATTTACAGGTGTGTACTACGGAGACCAGCTGAGCCACTCATGCGATGGGTCATCCGTCAGGAGTTTGTTTCAAGACCTCTCATGGTTTAAATCAATTTTTAAGATTGATTTACATGTATGAGTATTATTTACATTATATACACACACGTGTACCTGGTGCCCCAGGAGGTTAGACGAGGGTGTCAGGTTTCGTGGAAATGGTGTCACAGATGGCTGTGAGCTTCCCGTGAGTGCTGGGAACCAAACCTAGGTCCTCTGAAAGAGCAGCAAGTGCTCTTAACTGCCAAGCCAGCTCTCTAGCCCCCTCTGTTTTTTTTTTTTTTAAGACTTTTTATTTTATGAGTATGTGTTGCCTGTGTGTGTGTATGAGTGCACTGCCGAGGCCAGAATATGGTATCAGATGCTCCAGAACTGAATAACACAGTTGTAAACTGCTGGGTGGACACCGGGAATGGACCTGGGTACTCTGCAAGAGCAAGTGCGCTTAACCTCTGAGCCACCTCCTCGGCCCGTCCCTGCTGTTTTAAAAACTACTCCTACATGATCACATCCCTGTTGAGGTCGGAGGGGCATGAGTTACGTCTGAGAGGCTAAGTCAGGAGGCTTGGCAGCCCAAGCCCAAGGCCAGCCTGAGACACAGCGTGACACTGACTCACCACAGTTACAGTTACAGACACCCTGCAGAGAAAGAGTATGCTCCCAGGGGCTGGCCATATGGCTTAGAGGGAAAAGGAACCTGCCACCAAGC